GGGCGTCCTTTGATCTCTTCTAGGTCAGCATCGTCCTCGAGTTGTTGATATACCGCGAGGCTCCTCCCGTGAGTCTCAGTGGGATGACTAGTGCAGGTTCCTTTATTTTGGACACCCTGCAAACACGTTCGGCCTTTTCAAACCATTCGGCGATAGTCGGGCCCGTGGGGAGCCGTCAAATTCTGGGATCAACTTTTTAGATCGAACTTGTCCATCGCCGAAATAGCTTGTGGTGTGTAACTCAACAATTCAATTGATGATAGCAGGTAGGCACAAAGAAAACCGTGTCGCACGTCCAACCTTCTCACGAGCCGAAAGCCTTCTGATTTGAAACAGCAGAAATGAGCCTGCTTTATACAGCTGCGGACCGACCATTTATTTGCATGCGAATCACGAGGCAACAGATTTCAGCGTTAACTGACCGAGACCGCTCGGCATAAAAACGCTGGCGCCGCCATTTTGGTTTTTTTTTTACCGTTGGAAGGACCAGAGTTTACATACTGCGCGAGATTCGAACGCGTTTCCGAGGTAGGCCATTTTCACAATTTTCCCCACAGGTATATGATCATGGCTCTTCACAACTTCCCATCTTAGTAGCTCTATGCAATGTTCATCTTTTTACTATTCTTCCAAGTCTCTGTTCTGCCATACTTTTACACACATTTACTCCCTGTTTCCCTCTATCCCTCTTAACTTCAATGTTTCCTGTGAGTGTTAAATTCTCCAGGCCCTCTTTTCTCATTATATGTTCCTGAAATTTCAAGAGTCTCTTTCTGATTCTAATGTATCTTTTTATGTTTCCATTTACCTTAAAACATCCTCATTGCTATAGAAAAATACTGAGACTGCCATGGACTGCTCAGGTTTTCTTTTACTGAACCACATCTCAAATCTTATCTTTATCTCTGAAGAAAATGTCCATCTTTTACAGCCATATAGGAGGATTGATATTACATAGCAAAATTTTCTTATATCTTAATACTTTCTTTGATTTTTGGTTGCCATCTTTTGCACTTAAAATATTTTCCCCATATTTAAATTAATGTACTTTCTTGGTTTTTAAAATCTCCATAGCTCACATCTTGGGCTGTTCCTCTGCCTGATGTCAATATATTCAGTCTTCTTACAATTGATAGTTAGTCCTTTCATGCCTCTTTCCTTTACTATTTTGTCTATTTGCTAGGAACTTAGAGCAAGAGAAAAAAATCTTCCATAACGAAATAAATGTTTGCCTTGAAAGGGTGTAGTTATGTATTTGGCAACAAAATAAAGGAAATTTATTTGCAAAGTTTATGTTGGATTTCTTTAACAACAAATATAAAGGTAAGGTATTAAAATACTGTTTGGACATCATTAATAACTGTATATATATATATATATAACACACACACACACACACACACAATCTAATATTACTGTACTTGATTAATTTATAACATGTATATATATTGTCATACACAGACAGACTGTTTCACTGTATCACAGCTCATCAGTGTAACTAGACGTCTGGTTGCCTCTAGCTAGGATCAAAACCCAACTGAATTGGCATCAGTCAGGGATTCTACCACTAAGCCATTGGCACACGGCAGGGATGAAGGTGAATTTAAGCGTATTTATTTTTAGATAAACACAGTGACTGAGAGAAATGGATTCGATTTACTGAAGAGTCATGCATTATTAGCCGTAATAGTCACTGTTTACAAACCCACACTTCCTCCTCAGAGAGCTCAACTGAAATAAATTTTTCAGGATCCTATATAATTTCACTTTTATAAGTACAAGGCTTTGTTCCAGACACATTAGATATATAGTCCAAACCTACTATTTTTTTTTATATTCACACCCTTATATTATATTTCAATACTGTGTTCTAGTTTACTTTAATTGGTATAACCAGGGTATTTTATGTAAATAAGACAGTTATCCCCCTTGAGATATATATATATATATAGTGAGAGAGAGAGAGATGTTGTTTACTTTTAAATCCAACTTTAAATTTTAATAATTGTTAATTTTTTTAATTCTTTGCCTTTCAAACATAAGAATTTAAATGATATAAATTATTAATAGTTAATTCTAATATTTTATGCAACAATAATAAAATAAACAAGTCTTAATGCACAATTTCAAATCATCACCATGAGAACATGAATTATATAACAGTCAGATTATATTTGCACCTGAAGATTGCAAGAACAACATGAAACTCCAAGTCATGCTATCAACATTGGAGATATAGATATATATATATAGATATATATATATATATATATATATATAATGTGTTTTTGTGTTTATTGCTTAGAATTATGCCTGTTGCAGACACTTTTTAGTGTTTGTTTCACATTCACAGAACCAACTTGTGATTCGTGCCTAATCTGGTAGGATTGACAGTTTGAACAAGACCAGTACACTCAAACCCTCAGTCACAATGACTTGTGACTCTGTGCTTGCACAACCACTGATAGCTCACAAACCATTTTACACGATGCTTGGATCAACCCCCATAATGTCAATTTTCAAGCACTTCCTAATGGTGCTATGTGCTGGGATAGCCTCCCCTGGCTGATGTTATCAAAACATCACATCCTGAATAAATTGGCCACAGTGAAATTTAAATCAAGTTATCATGGTCAGAATGCTAACATTCTAACAACCTGGCCACTAGTATTTGGTACAAAAAAAATACAGATTATAAAACAAATTGAATGTAACCCTATGCCAAACTTAACTGATATATTTTTTAAATCTGACTAAATTTTTTATTATTATAAGTGTTATATACATAAGTTGATCTCCCTGCTTTTTAAACAGTGCAATTTAATGTCTACCATCCTAGAAAGTCTTATAATGTGCTTCTTGACTGGAATCAAACCTGTATTCCCTTGAGAAGCCATCTTCAATCCAGATGTTTTACAACTAAGAGACAAGAAGGCATAATAATATTAATGCAAGTCTCGTTTAACCTAGTTAAAAGATGTGTGTCTTTATTGGATTTGAAGGTGGTTTCCTATGATAAAAGGGCTACAGGTTCAATTCCTGTTGAGAGGCAGATTTTCTTTAAGATATTTGATCTTTAGGTCAGTAATGAAGTGATCTGATTCTTGAAATAAAAATATTTCTGTCACGATAAAGAAGATTTCTCACTTATTCATAGATATGAGCTGGAAGCTTCTCCAGCAGGTTTCCAAACAACCACAGAATGCAAAAGTTCATACAACATTCAGTTTGTGTTTGTTGTTTTAAGAGAGATAACTGAGACAACCAGAAGAGGCATGGCATGTGGAACTAGAACAATCTACCCTGGTGAACAAAATAAAGGGTTCCGTTCGAAATTCCAATCACCTTAAGAAGGCTGGAGTGTACAATGGCCAAAACATTGTGAATAGGACAATAAAGATGAGGACAACAGTCCAAACATTATAAATAGTGTAAATAATGAAATATCCTTTAAATATGTTCCTTCTTACCTGGAGGATAAACAGTAAAAATGAAAAATCAATTTTACTCCTTCAATGATGTTGACACAACTTTTATTCATTTACTGTTCGAACAAACATTAATTACGAAATCATTGAAAAAAAAAAGCCACACCTCTGGATATGGAATGACGCATTTCCATTTCTGTTGATGTTCCAAAACAGACAAAACAAACAAAAAGAGGAAAATCCTTTTTTTTGTTTGTTATCATTTGTTATTGACAGGGTACAAGATTTTTTTTTGCATTTGCTCTCTGAAACGTCAATAATCTCAGACAGACATTATCTACTTCAGATAGGAGTAGATTTAGTAATTCGAGCAATTTGTCTTCTAAGGTTGGGATAAGGTTTTTTTTAATTGAATTAAACCTCGTGTAAGGCAGTAAAGCCACTAAGGTACAAGTGGTTACTGGGTGTGAAAGTATTAGCAAACAGAAGTATTTTTGTAGAGTGAGATCAATTGAAGAGTAATCAGGAAGACAGTAGATCATGATTGACATTTCATTTAAATTTTTGAAAATCAAATTTGACTGGAAAGCAAGAAACAAGAAGGGAGTTGTACAAACAAGAAAAGAAACTGTTAGTATACAACTTATGGTTACATCTAGTCAATTCATCTGTAAATTAATGGGATCCTGTTGCTAATACTGTGCTTAAATTCATAAAGTCTAGGTACCATAGCAAAGAGTTCATCTGAATAATTACCATGAAAGTATTTATAGACGATGCACAAAGAACAAACTTTACAGCAGTGGGAAAGTAGCTGAAGCTGTGAATTTGTGTCAAAACCAATAATATTTGCTGATTCTTCTTTGGATTTTATCAAGGAGCACCAGACCAGATGTGGCAAAAATATTCAAAACATGGGTGAATGGTAGACTTATAGATATGTACGATAGATTCAGGAGAGAAAAATTGTCTAGCATGACACAGGAAACCAACTTTCTTGGCAGCAGATGTAGCAATGTATTAAATATAGTCTTTCCAGCTCATGTGAGTCAAGAATATTAGCCCGGGAAGGTGTAATGAGTCAATCTCCTAGAGGTTAGCATCAGCCATGCTGATGGAAGTCAGAAAGGAGTCTCTCAGACGATTAATAAAGAGAAATTTTGTTTTGGAAGTATTAAAATTAACATGCCATTCTTTGCCCCAGTTAACAACAAACTTTAGGGGTTTTTTTGAGATCAGCCACCAATTTGAGTTGGAGCAGTCTGTCTTCTCTGATTGGGATAAATTGAAGCAGTCCATCTTCAAAGCTTGGAATAAGTTGAAGCTGTCTGTCTTCATTGCCTGAGTGAATTTAGTGCAGTCTGTCCTCTCTGATTGATTCATTCATAGCCAGAAAATATTTTTAGATTGTACAATTTTTTCAATTCTTTTTTTTTTCTTTCTTTTTTTTTTTTTTTGAGATAATAATGGTTTAGTGATATAAGTTTTATTAATTAACACATAGCTGGGAGGAGAAGTGGGTGATTCATACCATTCCCAAGTGTATTTGCACATAAGTGAATATAATAAACCCAGCTCCTGGTATTCCCAAGCGGTCACCCATCTAGGTACTGACCAGACACAAAGTTGCTTAACTTCAATGATCATACAGGAAACAATGTTTCAACATGATGTAGCTATAAGCCGTGTTGTCTCTGATTGGGATAGGTTAGAAGAAGAACCTCTTTGCAAGAAAAAGATTTCTTGCTGTGATGCCTCCATATTGCTTTTTGTGTTGCCTTCAATAAATCAATTTTGTGTGCATAACTCAATTGCCAAATTCTTTGAATATGCTAAAGAAATAAATTGAGATTGGAATGACTGTTGATCTGGAGAGAAAGATTGCTGTTAAAATTTTGTACATTTTTTTCATTTAAATTCTGACATTAAATTTGATGTTAAAATGCATTTTTTGTTTATTATTATAGTTTATGTGTTTATATGGGTGTAGTGTCTGTGGTAGTACCTTTGCAGTGAAGCAGTTGGCCCAGCTTGACGCCAGTGAATTGGGATGCATATTTGTACTGGTCCATGGCCTTCATCCAATTCTCATACATGGCTCCAAGAAGTCGCATAGGCACTGTGATGGCCACACTCCGGTCAATGGCATTGACTTGCCAGCTAAACTGTACAAGTGTAGTCAGAATGGTTTCCCACCCAGTGTGGGGAACGCCTCTCCCAACCCATTTGCACCAAGCAGTCATTAGCCAGTCACCTGCCTGAACATAGGAGCTGTGCGTCAGTGGTCAACAGCTTTACCAGTGGGTGAAAGAACTATTCAGAGAAGGGATGGGGTAACCTCAACAAGTCAGTCTGCTAATAGGTTTTCTTATAAGGTTTTGTAAGGCTGTGTTCAAATGATCCTGCAAACTTTACAATGACAAACATATTTCAGCAATATGCCTACAAAAGAAACTGGAAAACCATTGCACTATTTTGCCTTGAATGTCACCATGAACCACAATTACAACAGAAATAATGGGGAAAGGGTGACCACAGCCATACAAAATGTGCTGAATAAATAAATGAATGAGTATTTGTTTATATTTTTATACCACACACTCTGTGGTCATTTCTGAAGATTGAATGGCATCACGTCTTCAAAACTACAGTATCCTCCTCAGTATCCTCACAGTATTTTGGCCTGATCATTATTAATTTGTAGCACCTGCTTCACTATAATATGGTAATTGAGAATAATGATATATTCCATTTATCCAAAGGTATTTCTGACCAGATTAATTGGAGACATTTTCTTGTGAAAATATTTGTAGTTCTTTTCAAAGTCTACCTCAACAGTTAGCAGGAAGATGGTTCTAATTTGGCAAATTTGGTCATTTGTTCTTCATCTTCTGATGCCAACAAAATGATACTGTCCAAAGAACAGATATGATTCCTTGACTTTTTAAAAGTTTTTCAATATCCCAATTACAACTATCAAGAATAGTACAATAGTCAAAACTAAATTTGAATATCTAGATCTTTTATAGAATGTGGGTGATTATGGTTCTTCACAACTTCCTGTCTTTTGTAGTTCTTAGTAATTTTTGTCTTTTTTTTCTATCTCTCTTAATCCTACTCTGCCAACAATTTACAAAAGCTCATGAGGTAAGCTTATTCACTGCATTCGTTTGTCCCTATTGCTTTCAACCTGTCTTGTGGATATCAATTTTTCCAAGCTTTTTTCCTCATTATGCACCCTAGAAATTTTTAACTTTCTCTATCTCACATGTTGTCCATGATAGCCTGAGCATCCTTTATATCAGGACTGATTTTACAGAACAGTTCAGTCCTCTTTGTTTCTTATGAAATTTTTCTATTTCCTAATACTTTGCTTAACCTTTGTAAGGCATCTTTCACTATTCAAATTAACCTTTGGATTTTGGTATCACATTTTCCATCCTCTGTTAAGACACTTCCAAGATATTTCAATTTTCATATTTGCTTGATTTTGGTATCTCCAATTTTACTTCACATCTTGGGCCACTCCTTTTTCAAACAACCATATATTCAGTCTTTTTTCTTCTTGCTTTCCTTTTCTACCTTCTGCAGGAGTGCCAGTCATCTCCTTTCTGTGTCTGCCATCAACACTGTGTCATGTTAAGATTGTGGCCATCAATAATGAATCCTGGTAGGACTTCTAATTCTCTCAGAAGCAACTTACTGCAGATATCCAGTGAGATGACACATCCTGTCCCTTCTATATATATATATATATATATATATATATATATATATATTTATGCACTACAGCTCAAAAGTTTCAAGACAATTTGTGAATTAGCATGAGATGAATTTGACAGAAGAGTGAAACCTTTCCATCCAAAAATGAAAAAGAACTCTTAGAGACATTGAAAAATAGAATGGAATCAATTATCAAACTTGTACTTTGAGAAACTTTTGCAACAAATGCCAAAAATTCTGCTGCTGTAATCAAGACTTAAGGAGGATATTTTGACGTGAGCAAAATTTAATCATAAAATGCTTTTTTTCTTTTTGTTATAATAAAATTTTGAAATAAAAAATCATGTCTCACTTTTTTAACTATGCATAATAATTTTCCCTTATTTCAAGTACAAAACAACTACTTTTGGGGCCAATTTAAAAAATTATCTGGGGTGGCCTCAAACTTTTCAACTGTAGTGTGATTGTGTGTGTGTGTGTGTATATATATATAGCTTTTTGTGTATGTGATGACAAATGGAATATACATTTTCTCAAGAAAATGACAGAAATAATCAGTGCCTCTCCTCCAAATGAATCTGTGCTCTTTCTTTTCCTTAGTATTTTCTTTTCTACTATGGATCCCTTTCTTACTTCCCTCTCAAAATAACATTTGTCCATGTGTCTTATGTCCCATCAGATTATCTTAGATGATGGACACATTAAATATATGTAAGGCCTTTCTTCAAACTCAATATTTAGCCTTTATGGTTAAAGATGACTTGTATTTCCTGAATACTCCATGCAGAAATGAGGCAGTGTCTTTTACCAGCTCTCATCCTTTATGCTATCAAATACAGTGTACACTTACACACACTCATTTTGTGAACTTTATAAATAACAAGCTATGTGTATAAGTCACTGGGGGATCAATGAAAGTAGAAGAAGAGGAAACTCACCATTCCTAGTTTCGTTTCCTTATGGTTAATGCTGATAGTTATTTATTGTCAGGACCTCAAGGTCGCTTATTTATTTGTGTTTCATGGTTGAAAGAAGTGTGTCTATAAATAAACTAGGTTTTATTTGGGGTCATGATCTCTATCAAGATTGCTTATATACATATATATAATAATAATAATAATAATGGCTAATCATATCTGAGGATGCCCATTTGTTAAGGTGGCTTGCCAATCCCTGTTGCAGACACCTGCTCAGGTACATTTGCATTTTTTCAACACCCACAGACACCACATGTGGTTTATGCAACATCTATGCTAAGTGGATTTTAGTTACAGTTTCTGGGAGAAACCACATTATTTGGCATGATCAACAGTCTGAAAAAGTCCAGCCCACTCAAACCCTCGGTCATGATGACTTGAGACTTTATACTAGCACACCCATCAATGGGTCCTAAACTTCACTCACAAGGCTTGGGGTCAACCCATGATATGGTTTTTAGGCACTTTCCAAAGGTGCTGCACTGGGAGATCATGTCACTCAGATTGATAACATCAAGAAGTCACCTGGTAAGATTTGAAACCAGATCTCATGGTTAGGAAGTGAATGTTCTTATCACTCAGCCATACACGCATATAAATATATTTATTATTATTTTATACATCTATATTATTCATTTATTTGTTTTGTAAATTTTTGCTTTCATTTATTTTTCTTTGTTTGTAAGTTTAATATTTGCAATAAAGTTTATAAGATTTAGGTTATGGGATTTTATTTAATCTTTAATCATGGTGTGTAGTTGCATTTAGAAATGAGCTCTGATCTTTTTTTTAAGAACTTAAATTGTTCTAGAAAGGCAATTATCACAATTTTCTCCTCTAGGCAAAGGTTACAACACTTTGAGGTATTGTTGTAAGCTGGCACACTTCTTCTTATACCCCATGTTATTTTTGGTGAATTTTATTTCTGCTTTTGAGTTGCTATCTGCTCTTTCATATGTTTTGCTGTTTGCATATTTTCTGTTGTCAAGTGATATTTTGAGTGAGTAGTTTCTTTTTTTCCCAAGAACTTCTGTTTTTCCTATATATTTTTCTGGCTTTGTTATTTTACTTACTGTCACTTCTTGTATTACATTATTTTTTAGGTAGTTACCATTTAGTGGGCATTCAGACTTAGTTCTGAAGTTACAGGTTCAAATAGCGTTATTTGAGATCCATTGGTGATTTTTTTTTGTGTTTTCTATGATAACTTTACAGTTATGTCAAATTTTTTCTGTCCCATTTTTTAAAGATGTGGTTTCTTTTTTCAATGGAAGATATTTCCACCAGTGCTTTATAATTTTTAATTGATCTGTTGTGACTTTCATGTTTTCCTTTTCTAGGGAGAAGCCCTTATCTAATATATATTCATTGATGGATGGATAGACAAGTTGCGGGAATTCATAGTTGTTCATATATTTATGTTACTGAAAAAAGTGAGAATTCTTTTTCAGTATTTCAGTCAGTCTGGATTTAAAAGTCAATAAAAAAAATAAGCTGGTAATTCTGTTACTGTTTTTACAACACATGCACAGACAAATGATGTATTTCAAGAAATGCATATTTTTTTTTTAAAAATAAGTAAAGAAAATTTTGAACAAATTTCATTATAATGCAAACATTTAATTCAAAAATCAAAGTAAGCAAAATAAAAAACAAGATTGTTCACTAATCAATTTTTAAGTAATTAACTCAGAAATCAGAGACTTGGAAAATTATCTGACTGTGAATACAATCAATATAAAAATATATATTTATTTATTTGTTGTTTTCTCAATAGAAATGAAAGTTTTTAATTCATTTACTTTTTGTTTATAATTTGAATAAAAAAAAATGTTTTCCCACTTGATTGTTCCAAAATTGGTTCAAACTTGTTTACTCCTACCCAAAAAAAATCAATCCAGTTGGAATTTTTAAATAAAAGCTCTTCTGTCAGTAGTAGCAATAATTCCGTTGAGTTAAGTTTCT